GGGTAGCGGTGTACCTGCCGCAGCAGGTGTTCTGTGTTTCTTTCTGGTCCTGCTCTCTTCTGAGCTGACTTCTTATTACGGTGGTTAACATTGAAGAATCAGTCTGTTTTGTGAATTCTTTTCACACCAAGGTATTTGGTCTCTAGCTTGAGTCTTCCATGGGATATTACTTAGGATGTTCCAGTCTTCCCTAGTTTCTAGTTCAGTTGTGCTCCATCCAAGGTACCTAGGGCTGAGGGTTTTGCTGAAACCACTGGTCAGCCTTGACAGCAGCCTTTAGTAGCATGCACCTCTAAAACAGACCGGCAGCAGTGTGGTTGGAACCGTACACAGCCTGCTTCCTTTAGTGGGTGGCGGTGCACTGGGTACCTGTGGCCCTCCAAGGTGCCACCTAGTGTCCGGGTGCTGTTCATCTTTGTGTGAGTCTGCACGCCCCTTCTGTCTGCTGAGCAAGTCTGCTCACTCCACTCCTTGGACAAGTCTGTTCAGGAGTTGTGACCCAGGTGAAGAATAACCGGCCCAGAAGTTCACATAGCAGTCAGATTTGTGGAGCTGAGCCCAGGACGGGATGGGCCTGGCAGGGCAGGGAAGCAGGAGAGGGCGCTTTTGTTGAAGGACTCTGTTTTGCTTTAACCAGGTAAGAAGAGTGTCGTCATAATGTGCATGGAGGTTAATACTGCTAAACGGTGTACTTAAAATAGTTAAGATGGCATTGTTACGTCATTTCCTATCACACTTTCAAAAAAACATACCAAACCCTCAAGAATCCCACATCCTTAACTTTCCAGCTGCTCCTTGAAGTGGTCATTCTGCCCAGGCATGACTGAGGACCTGCACCCCTCCCCATCCCTCCACCCCTGCCTGCTTGCCAAGCCAACTGAGTTGTTTCTTCCGGTGGTGGCTAATCTGCACCTTGTGGCCCTCAGGCATTGCTTTGTCTCTTAGCAGGGGTGGCTGTGGAGTGGGGCCTGAACTCTGGGCCTGGGCGCTGTCCCTCAGCTCTTCAGCTCAAGACTAGTGCTCTACCACTTGAGCCACAGCGCCACTTCTGGCTTTTTTCTTTTTTGCTTATGTGGTGCTGAGGAATCGAACCCAGGGCCTCATGCATGCAAGGTAAGCGCTCTACCACTGAGCCACCTTCCCAGCCCTGGCTGTGGATTTTGTGCTTTGGTTCTTTCTTCCAGTTGGCCTGTGAGAGGATTTGACCTGAGCCCTATACTTCTCCTGTGCCCCTGCCTCACCCAATTCCCCTGCCCTGAGGCCCCCAGCAGGCCAAGTACTGGAAAGAGGGTGCGCACTCTTGTGCCTTCTCTGTAGGCCTCCTAGTGTTGTCCTGAGGAGAATCTGTTGTCAGTCACTGTACCAGTACCCTCCCTCCCGAGGGTTGAGTGGGTGTCAGGGACCAGGGCTGTACCCTTCTCCCATGGGAGGCAGGAAGGGCCCTGCAATGACACATGATCTCACGTTTGTAGCTATACAAGCTGAAGCTCATGGGAATAACACCAGTCACACAGCTAGTCAGACCAAGAACTGGAACCTGGGTCTTTTGCCTCCATGTGTTTCTGGTTCTTACCATGTATGATGCTTTGCATTTACTCACAGATGAGCTGAGGCCTGGCCTGGGGCTGGAGAGCAAGGAGGGGAGGGGAGCACAAGCTGAGGCAGCACCTGGGGTCAGACCTGTGAACGAACGGAACACCAGAACAAGGCCTAGAGAGGCATGGCGGGCGTGGGTGTGGCAGAGACAGCCGCAGACACCAGGGGACTCTGGCTCTGAGCAGAGGAGGAGCCCTCATTAAGGGAGATTAGATCATCCTGGCTTGAGAAGCCTCTGCCTGTGAACTGCAGCGCTTGGCAAAGGAAAGAATGTGTCATGCACTAATTAAAATGTAGGAAATAAAGAAACAAATATTTATTTAGCCTCAGCTATGCTGTAGGCACTCTGATAGGTACTTTCCCACTTATTATCTTTTTTAATTATCCTGGCCAGGTGGAGACATTGTACCAGTCTGTGTGCAGGTCAGTCTGAGATCAGCCACGATCACAGAGCAGGTCCCATGCAGCTCTCTGGGTCAATCCCCAGTTCTTTCTGCTTTGGTGCTCACCACAGTCTGTAGCATTGTCTCATGGGTCTGAGAGACTTCTGAGGAAAGACAGGAAGCATTTTATTCTTTAGTTTTTATCAGAGCACGCAGTTGGTGCTGACTTCCCAGTGTGCTAGAGCCTTGGCTCTCCCTCTCCACCTGCCCGCCCGCCCGCCCGCCTGCCTGTTCTTCACAACGCCTGGGCTTGGATGTGCAGCGTGCTTCTATCTGCTGGTTTCCCATTCCTTCCACGTTGTGCTGAGGACCTGTGTTCCTGGCTGGGTCAGCTCACACTCTGGCACAATCAGTGGCGCTCTGACCTTGAAGCCAGCATTTGTCCAGGGGTCACATTTGTACTTTGCTGGAGCAGGGTCTTCAAGGGAAGGGTTCTTGGTATGCGCCTCTCTGTCACCTCTCTGGACATGTGGGTGATGGAGCAGAAAAAGAAACTCATTTTCGAAATCATTTTTTTTTTTTTTTTGGTCCGGCAGTGGGGCCTGAACTCTGGGCCTGGGCGCTGTCCCTCAGCTCTTCAGCTCAAGGTTAGCGCTCTACCACTTGAGCCATAGCGCCACTACTTCCGGCTTTTTTCTTTTTGCTATGTGGTGCTGAGGAATCGAACCCAGGGCCTCAGGCATGCAAGGCAAGCGCTCTACCACTGAGCCACCTCCCAGCCCTCGAAATCAATTTTTATATTGTTATTTATTTTTTGTTGGCTGTGGGGCTTGAACTCAGGACCTGGGTACTGTCCCTGAGTTCTCTTGCTCAAAGCTAGCACTCTAGCTGGCAGTTTGAGCCACAGTGCCACTCCCAGTTTTCTAGTGTTAACTGAAAATAGAGAGTCTCACAGCCTTTCTTGACTGATTTTGAACTGAGATTCTCAGATCTCAGCTTCCTGAGTATCTTGGATTACAGGCATGAGCCTCCAGTGCCCAGCCACAAGATCTTTTTCTCAGTTTAACGTTTGTGTCTTTTCCTTCCATTGAAGGTTGGTTCCCAGCTTTGCTGTGAATGACATCTTTGCACTGTCTCTTGTTCTGCACTGTTGTCAGGTGTCAGCCGGCTGCTAGACATGTTCTTTTTCTTTTACAATTTTAGGGGTGTTTTTTGTCTTCCTGCTTAACCTTCTTTTTGAGTAGGGATAGTTGCACCCTTGTGTCCTTCCCCATAGGTACTGATTGGGGTGAAGGCTCAGGTTAGGTGATACCACACTGTTCTATGGGTGTGTGTGAGAGAGAGAGAGAGAGAGAGAGGCCGCGCGCGTGCTTGAACTCTGGGCCTGGGCGCTGTCCCTGCACGCGCTTGAACTCGGCCTGGGCGCTGTCCCTGCACGCGCTTGAACTCTGGGCCTGGGCGCTGTCCCTAAGCTCTTTTACTCAAGGCTAGCACTCTACCACTTCAAGCCACAGTGCCACTTCCGTTTTCTGGGGGTTAATTGGAAATGAGAGTCTCATGAACTTTCCTGCCCAGGCTGGCTTTGAACTGTGTTCCTCATCTCTCAGCCTCCTGAGTAGTTAAGATTACAGGCATGAGCCACCGGAACCTGGCCCACATTGCTTTATCCCTGTAAGTGTGGAAGCTCGCCCAGGACATCTGTGCCTCTGCCATATGGAGGTGATGCCGGTCCTGCCCAGTGCCTCTGCGGCACCTCGTGGGGCAGCTGCCAGGGCGCGCTCATCAGCAGGTTTGCTGTGGTAAACACTGCTTCAAGGAATGACGCAGTGCCTGGTGCCTGGCCACTGCCTGCCCACTGGCATATTTGGGGCACATATCTATATGGCACATGACTAGAGCACAAACATGCATCTAGTTTTTCTAGATATCCACCTGTATCTTTGTAGGAATTCTGAGTGCCTCATTGAATTTCATTCCCAAACACTTAGTCCTGCAGCAGTTCAGCTGTCTCAGGCGCCCCATCTGCAGGAGGCCGCGAGGTGCCACTGTAGACTGTGAGGAGGAAGCACTGCTGACGGCCCTCACATAAAGATTCGGAGAATCTCTCCTCACTCCCCTTGCTGAATGGATTGGTTTGGGTTATCCCAAGACTGGAAAGAGGCACTGGGAGGGGCCCCCTCTTGCTCTGTCCCAGGATGAAGCAGGTCAAAACCAGGAGCGAAGAAGATAATTATAAGTTAGATGCTTTGAAGAAATCAAAGGAGATTAAAATGGAATCCAGCCAGGCCCTTGTTTAGGCAAACATGGTGTACATGACACATAACCATACACAGTCAGAGAGTGGTTCCTACACTGAATGTAGCATGTACAAAGGCCCTGAGGCAGAAAGCAGCTTAGGGTATATGAGAACTAAAGAACAAAGCCAGTGGCAAGAAACTATGGGTGAGGTGGGCGAGAGCAAGTCTGGGGCATATGAGGACGGTGTCAAGGACAGTGGAGCTGGGGCTGGTGCAGCAGCATGGCGTGATACATCCTTCTGTAGATGAGAGGGCAGTGCAAGCAGAGTGTTGTTTTCCGAAAGCGGCATTGTTCATCCTGAACTTGCCGGTGGGGCTGCATTCCGTGTTCCTTTGTGCAGGACAGCTGCCTCTCACTGTGGGTCTCTTAGAGGATTTCTTGCTTGGTCAGGGTCAGCCCTGGTTCCCCATGTGTTTCCTGGCTGATTGCAGTGTGCAGTGGTAACTGGATCATGTGCGTGGCTAGAACAGGAGCGTGATAGCCCCCCACTCTCTTCTTTGGAGCTGCAATCCCAAGAGACCTGTCCCTCTAAAAGATAAGGGAGCTGACTCGGGTCAGAAAGGTCTGTGCCTAGCCAAGAAAAAAGGCATTTTCAGCGCCTTGTTTTCCATTTCAGGAAACTGGCAAGCTGCCGCGGGGAGACAGCAGCGCCGGCTGGCCCTGGCCCCGAGGAGCCTGCACACTGGCGAGGTCGCCTGTCTGGCGGGCGGGCGGCAGAAGCACACTGACTGACGGGGTAGCTCAGCTCACAGACAAACTCTGCATACCTCTTCTAGACACGAGCTACAGGCTGCTCCGCCCGAGGAAGACTCCAGGGCTTCAAACCCCTCGAATGTGGACCACTCAGGACCCAAGAGAAAGTTCTCTGTTGATGCGTTGTAGGGTTCCTACAGAAGTAATGTCACTTTATAGTCAGTAATACCACTGGGTGAGGAGCACTATGCAGGGAGAAACCTTCCACAGAAAGACAGGCAGGGAGAAGCACGGGCTGACTGCAAGCTTGCCACGCACCGCGGGCCTGAGATAGACTGCAGGATGGCTGAGTAGGAGGCCTTCCGAAGGAACTAGGAACCAGTGCCGGTAAAGAAGGTTCTCCTCCGAGTCACGATACCAAATAGGAAAAATGATCTACAAGTGCCCCATGTGCAGGGAGTTCTTCTCCGAGAGAGCAGATCTTTTCATGCACCAGAAAAGCCACACGGCCGAGAAGCCCCATAAATGTGACAAGTGTGACAAGGGTTTCTTTCATATATCAGAGCTTCATATTCACTGGCGAGACCACACAGGAGAGAAAGTGTACAAGTGTGATGATTGTGGGAAGGATTTTAGCACTACCACCAAGCTTAACAGGCACAAGAAAATCCACACGGTAGAGAAGCCCTATAAGTGCTACGAGTGTGGCAAGGCCTTCAACTGGAGCTCCCACCTGCAGATTCACATGAGGGTGCACACGGGAGAGAAGCCCTATGTCTGCAGTGAGTGTGGGAGGGGCTTCAGTAACAGCTCCAACCTGTGCATGCACCAGAGAGTGCACACCGGGGAAAAGCCCTTCAAGTGTGAGGAGTGTGGGAAGGCCTTCCGGCACACGTCCAGTCTCTGCATGCACCAGAGGGTGCACACTGGGGAGAAGCCCTATAAATGTTACGAGTGTGGGAAGGCCTTCAGCCAGAGCTCCAGCCTGTGCATCCACCAGAGGGTGCACACCGGGGAGAAGCCCTACAGGTGCTGTGGGTGCGGGAAGGCCTTCAGCCAGAGCTCCAGCCTGTGCATCCACCAAAGGGTGCACACTGGAGAGAAGCCTTTCAAATGTGATGAGTGCGGGAAGGCCTTCAGCCAGAGCACCAGCCTGTGCATCCACCAAAGGGTGCACACCAAGGAGAGAAACCATCTGAAGATAGCCGTCATGTAGAGAGTGCTTGCTGAGAGTTAATAATCCGGAAACCCCTAAGTGCCGCTAGGAAGTAGCCCTGAGCACCTGCATTGACCCAGAATGCTTGCAGCAGTCCCTGGCAGAACACTGAGGAAGCGTAGGTGAGGCATTGTTTGTTCGTTCATTCACACCAGTGTGTCCCTCAGCTTGACTTTGAACGTGGAATCTGATCGTGTGCCCGAGGCAGGCCACCTGTCCCATCCCCGTCTGCCTGTTGTGGTGTGTGGCTTTAGTGGTTGACATGCTGCCCCTAACCCTTCAGCAGTACTTGGAGTCACTTTGTCTGTGCTGTTCTTCAAAGCTCTCTTTCGGAGCTCATGCCCCTTCCTTCCTCTCAGTTCAAGTCTGCTGGTCAATGCGCTTGAAAATGGACAGCCCCACTAAGAGCATATGCTGGTATTTCTGAGGTGGCCACTTCACTCAGCCCGCCATAGCCTTCCATCGCTCCTGCCACTTCTGAGCCCACTTGACCTCACCGCCCTTCCTAGATGGCATTGATTCGTTTTAGATTAGTGGCTCGCTCAGCCTGTCAGGAAGTCGTCAGCAGACATGCCTGCCCGGAACTTTTTAGTTTTGTGGACTCTGCCAATCACTGTCTCCATGTTAGACTTAGTTTCTAGTGGTTGCTTCATGTATTTTTAACTTGAATTTTTTTTTTAAGTAGCTGAATGTAAATAGCAGGGAGAAGCGAGGTGCACACTTGTCTCCAGCGTTGCCCCGGGTGGGCTCCTTCCACGCGGGGTGGGCCCTCCGGAGGGAAGCAGGGAGGAGCTGCTGTCCCTGTTGCTTGTCATCTTGGGCAATAATGTGTCCGACTCATTGCGGATTGGACCGCGTACCAGTTCCTTGCAGGCATGGATGTGTATTGTTCATCCATCTTCTTTTCCGTCTTCATTCATTCAACAAGTATTTATTGAACGCCTGAGTGCCAGGCACTGGGCTGGGTGCTGGGAATGCCACTGGATCAGCCAGACAGACGAGGGCCCTGCTCACGGAGGTAACTTCCGGTGGGGCGGACAGCTGATAAGTAAGCAAATAAATAATGTAGTTTGAGGTAGTGATTACGTGCTATGAAGAAATAAACTAGGGTGGTATGTAGTGGGGGGTGGGGGGAGAGCGTTCGCCAGGGTCCGGGGCATCTGGGGCCAGGTGGAGGGGCGCCGGCCACAGTGCAGGTGCTGCTTGCTGGGGACAGCAGGGAGGCGGGTGCTGGCATTGTACGGGGAGGGGAGAGGCCGGGCTGCTCGGGATCTTGACTTCTGCAGACCTGTTGTTTGTTTTGTTTGATTGTTTCTGCTGGATATTAAAACTTAAGTGGAAGAACTCAAGGAATGTTTAAAAGACCAAAAGTCCCCAATGACAAGAACAAAAAAAGTGACCAGTTTTTAACATTGTTTTTCTTCTCATTCCCATTCTCATGTGTGTCCCACATGTAGTCCCTTTTGCTCAGGAAGTCTTTGGGGAAATTAAGGACCTGTGAAGTGGGCAGTCAGGTGACGGCATCTGTCAGCTGTCTAAGAGGCCGAGATGGCTTCTCAAGGTGGTCATGGCATTGCCAAGGTGACCCTGGGGTCATCTCCACGCTGGGATTGGCTCCGGCCGTCTGGAAGGGGTTCTGTGCAGAGATTGAGCAGTGGGCTAAGGCCAGAGCCAGACTGAGATTTTCTGTCACCGCCTTGATCTCGGTGCCGACACCTCTGCTGACAGCCTCTGTGTTGCTGCCACCCCTGTCCTGTCCGGAGCACAGGCACAGGTGCCGGCTGCAGCCACCCCAGGCCTGACGGCCGCCACAGCAATTTACTGTAGTGTCTTATCACTTCATGTCACAGTAGCGTGGAGCGTTAGGGGAAAGCCTAGACTTTTAGTTAATAGAAAGCCAGTTGAAATACCATTGGTAGAATTTTAGTTTTAGGATAAATTGGTTTGATTTCTAGCTTTATTACTATTAGGTATGTAAGCTTGGGCAAATTGTTTAATCTTTTGAGTCTAGTTCTCACAAAATGAGAATATTAGACTAAATAATTTCTGAGTTTCCAGCTAGTCCTAGAGTTCTATATTTCTACATAGTTGAATTATTTTATCATGCTGTTGCTGGGAAAATGACTAACACTTTTGAAGCTACTAATTTTATGTCGAGCTTTAAAGTCCATAATTGTTATCTTCAGAAAATATTATTTGACCTACAGTATGTCCAAATCAATTTAATAAAACCACTTTATAACAGGGTCTGGGCTTGCCTGTAGTGTGTGCCTTCCGTAGTCCACGGTGGGAGGGGAGCTTGGACACTGCGCCAAGCGGGTAGGGGTCCGGAAAGTAGCGGTGAGCTCGTTCCTTGGGGATCCAATTTGGTTCTTTCTGTTGCCCAGCTGGCAACCATAGGCGCTGCTTCCGCTCTGAGCCTGCCCTCCCAGGTCTGACCTGTGCTGAGAAGCAATCCTCTGTGCCTGCCCCCATCTGACCGCCTGGCAGCTGAGTCCCAGCCCAGGGAGGGGAGGGGGCTCCCCCCCAGTAATACCATCTTGTTACGGCACCACCATGGGGTAAATGTATCCACAGAAGGTCCCAGTGCCCCTTCCACAGGGGCCACAGCTGCTAAACTGTCCAGTGAGTGACGTTGCTGTAAGCTGGAGAGAAATTACAAGAGAGGGGACACATGTATGCATGGATTTTGCGTGGAAGGGAAATACAAAGGGCAGCTCTGAGTGAACACCTGCCCTTGGAGCCTGCAGCCACACCTCCAGCAGTTCCTCACTTCCCATCATGCTGTGGGGCTTGCTTTTCCCCTAGCAACCCTCAGTCCCACAACTCCCACCCTTTAGCTAAGGCTTTCCTCCTGCCACAGTCCACACACACCCTGGTGCACTCCTGAGTTGTGCATTGCCTCAGTGCCAGGGTCTGGTGGCCTGTGAGTGAAGTGTACCGTAGCTGGGGCAGCACATGGCTGGCCAACTTTTCTTTGCTATTCAAGCAGACGGGAGGCCAGGTTACAGATCCTGGAGGTTCTAGAGGTCCCCGACGTCCAGGCTCTCCCTTGACAAGTGTTATCCGGTAACTAGCTGCAGGGTGTCAGTTAAATGAACTCTGTATACAGGACACACTTAGGCCAGAGGTGTTTCCTTGTGAATCTGAAACCCAATTAACTGGATACCCTGTGTGATTTGTTGCTGTCAAGCCTGGCAGCCCTGCCCTTAGGTGGGTACGGGCCTCCCATTCAGGAAAGGGCTGAGTGTGCCACAGCCCCTGCTGTGAGTGTGGGAGAGGCTGGGTGTGCAGCGGCCCCTGCTGTGTGTGTGGTAGAGGCTGGGTGTGCAGCGGCCCCTGCTGTGTGTGTGGGAGAGGCTGGGTGTGCAGCGGCCCCTGCTGTAAGTGTGGGAGAGGCTGGGTGTGCAGCGGCCCCTGCTGTGAGTGTGGGAGAGGCTGGGTGTGCAGCGGGTTTGCTTCTAGAGCAGGAAGGCATGGGAAAGATTCTAGGCTCCCAAAAAATAATACGTCCAGGGCTCCTAAGTGGCTTGACTTTAAAGAGTGGCTGTAGGGCTGCCTGCCACCACCGCACCCACACACCGGGGGACCAGCGTTGAGCCAGGAAGTCCCCTCGGTGACATCTGTGCTGGGCCCGTCTGAATCTCCCGTTCTCTGTAATAATTTCTAGGTTGGAGGGTGGCTGTGTATCTGTGCCTCCAGGGCCTGAGGGACTACTAAAGGGCCAGCTGGGCAGCGGCCAAGGGAGGCGGAGCTGGATATGGTGGGAGCTCACCCGTGGGAGGGATGGCTGCCTTCCTCTACCACTGCTGTTCCAAAGGACCACAAACCCCATGGCTTAAAGTAACACCAACCTCTCTTGTCCTTCTGGAGGTCAAGGTCTGAGGCGGGCCTTTCGGAGATAACCCCAAAGGTGCCGGTTGCGCCACATTAGGCATTTGTTTATGTGAAATTTACACTTAACAAAATATGTGAACTCTTAAGTCCAGTATTTGATAAGTGAAGTGCAATGCATCTTTTTATGTAACTCAACTCCCTTTCTGGATAAAGAACATGAACATCACCCTGTACCCTTCCTAGTCAGACCCCCAGTTCCAAGTAGCCCTGTTCTGATTTATCATTTCCCCTTCTCAGACTTCATATCAACAGAATCCTATTGAGCCCAGTGTGATGGTGTGTATAATCAGAGCACACAGAAGGCTGAGGCCAAGGCTGAGCTTGGACTACACTGGGAGATCTTATTTTTAAACCAGCAATAATGCTGAAGGCCTGCGCTAAGCACCACATCCTGATTTAGATTTTACTTATTATTATAAAGGTAGTGTACAGGGCTGGGAAGGTGGCTCAGTGGTAGAGTGCTCGCCTTGCATGCATGAGGCCCTGGGTTCCATTCCTCAGCACCACATAAGCAGAAAAAGCTGGAAGTGGTGCTGTGGCTCAAGTGTTAGAGCGCTAGCCTTGAGCTGAAGAGCTGAGGGACAGCGCCCAGGCCTAGAGTTCAGGCCATACAACCAACAAAAAAAAAGCGGTATACAGAAAGTGTAAAAGGGGGCTGGGAAGATGGCTCAGTTATAGAGCGCTTGCCTCACATGCATGAGGCCCTGGGTTCCATTCCTTAGCACCACATAAGCAGAAAAAGCTGGAAGTGGCGCTGTGGCTCAAGTGGTAGAGTGCTAGCCTTGAGCTGAAGAGCTGAGGGACAGCGCCCAGGCCCAGAGTTCAGGTCCTGCAACCGACAAAAAAAAAGAAAAAATAGTATATCCATGGAGCTCACTGGACACTGATAAAAGTGAACTATACAACTTATGGGTGGAGATGGGAGGGAGGGACTGAGAGAGAGTGAAGGAAAGACACTTCCAAAGGAAGTGTGCTCACTGCCTGACTCATGTCATTGTAATACCTCTTTATAAACAGGACTGCAGTTACATCGACGCGGTACAGGTCTTTGGGCAGTGTTACCACTTGCTCTCTCCCAGTTTTCGCCTCCCATTCCCACCCACACGTTGAATAGTTCAACATAGTGTCCAGTGAGTGCACTGCTGCATTTGTTCACCCTTTGTCCTATTTCTTTTTCTTTTTCACCAGTCCTGGGGCTTGAACTCTGGGCCTGGGCACTGTCCCTGAGCTCTTCAGCTCAAGGCGAGCGCTCTACCACTTGAGCCACAGCGCCACTTCTGGCTTTTTCTGTGTATGTGGTGCTGAGGAATGGAACCCAGGGCTTCATGCATGCGAGGCAAACATTCTGCCACTGAGCCACCTTCCCAGCCCTGTCCCTCCTATTCTGAGCCCTCCACTTGCCCTCCCAAAGACGTAACTCTTCATCTGTGTGCCCGCCTGTACCTCCTCTTTCCTGTGTGCGGTGTGCAGTGTTCCCCCACCTGCCATGACTTACCCACTCACCCGCTGATGCCACTGGGTTGGGATCTGAGACGTGTGGGTGGGCTCATGCTTAGAGGGAGAAAACACAGTCAGCTTCCCTGTGGTGCCCATGACTCTTGTCCCTGGCTGAGGAAAGCTCAGTCCTGGAGCCAAGGCTCTGAGCCAATGGGCTGCCCTTAGGCAGATGACAGCAATGGGGTGCCTGTGCCCCCCCTACCTGGAGCTGAGAACCCCGTATCTGAATGAGTAGGCCACGTGCCCACGTTGTGGGTGGTGCGGGCCCTCCCACCTGCGGCCACAAGGGGGCACTGGCTTGCTTCATCGGATTTCCGTTTTTCCTGTTGGCAATGTTCTTCCAGAAAACAAACCTCAAGATTTTCCCTCCTTTTCTTGTTCTGTTCAGCTCAGTAGAGATACTTGTTCAGTGTTTACTGAATACCCACCATGTCTGGCGCGCCATACCAGGCATGGGGGCGGCAGAGAAACAGAACGTTTCCTGCCCTTGGTGTGATGCTGAGCGGCGGCAGGCGGCAGGCAGGGAGGGAGGCAGGTGGCACAGCACAATTGCTGGTGGGTGTGAGCTGGTGTTGGCACGGCGCAGGAAGGGATGATGTCAGGAGCTAGGGGGAGAGGCCAGAAGGTTCTGGAGCAGGATATTTTTAGGGAGACTGAAAGCCACTAGATGGGCCAAGGCTGGGAGATTTGGAACTTACTCATCATGCTGAATGCCACCTAGGAGTTCCTAGTGAGCCGGTGATGGCAAATTCCAGATGGAGGGCGGGGAGCGGGCCAGGCAGTGCCCTCATCTGCTGGGAGGTGATGGGGCTAGCCTGAGGTCACAGAGGAGGTTCCTCTGGGGACAGAATGGCAGGGCACATCTGTATTGAGTGCTTTTTTACTCAGACTATCAGGGGTGTCATAGATCACTGTGGTGATCGCTTCAGATTCACTTGGGGGTTCAGATGGTCTCAACAGGGCAAAGAGACCAGACGGTGTACAAAGTGCAAAAGCTGGGGTTTGCACCCCAGGAGCGGGTGGTGGGCCTGGGTAGAAGCTGATCACCAAGACACAGCCAGGCTGTGGGATTTTTCCCCAGAGGACTTGGCAGGATTCTTGCACAGGACAGAAGGCAGGTAGGAGCCGGCTGCCAGGCTGAGCCCTTCTGGGCTGGGCATCTTTTCCCTTCTCAGGGATTAATCAGATCTTTTATAAATGTAGATTTCAGTATACCAAGTGACATTTTTAAAGTAGGAAGCCAACACACATGCCTCCTTGGAATTTTATATTTTAAATGTTTGTATTTTATTTTAAAGTGTATACTTGTCCTGGTTTTTTTTGTTGTTCCTCTTCAAAAGTCCCCTTTTTCATTAGCACAGGCTAGTCCAGCCACAGGTCCTGAACTCGAATCCAGAGCCAGCCCAAACAGGCTGTGGGACTGGGTTCTTGCAGGACAGGGGTAATAATAGGATTGTGCATGGGACATGCTGAGCCAGCGCACACCGAGAGCTGGGCATTCTGGGAAAGCCGCTATTCCTGGTTTCCTGTCATCTTTGTCCCAAGTTGTCTCATGTAAGAAGGAAAGCCCCCCCCCCCCCCCCCCCCCCGTTAGCTGAGCTCTGTAGATGAGAAGGGCAGTCTTTGCTTCTAACTCGCCTACACGGCCTCTGCGTGTCCCTAAACCTTTTCTGATGTCTCATGAAAGATGAGTAAGAATTCTAGAGACCTGCTGGTTCTCTTACTGTGCGGTCATCTGGGCTCTTTAGCCTTTCTGGCCTTGGTACATGGATTGTCCCTCAGATCCTGGAAACTGGCACCATGGCCTGGATCCAAAGCCCGAAGCTTCTTTGCTCGGATCGCCCTCCTGAATG